ACAAATTGAAAAGTGGAGTACCAATTTACCCACCTCCAAGCGGAGAACCTCGTTCAATTATACAGCGCCGTCTGGTGATGCCCCTCCAAAACCCGTTCGCCCTCCCCACAAAATATGGCGGGAGTGGGACGCAGTGAGAAAGAATGTGGATTTGGCACTAAATTTGCACAATCGTGTGGAGAGTCTCTACTCAACCACAGTAAAACACTCGTTTAACTTATTTCTGCAGTCGAAACTAGAAAAAAAAGGGGAAAAGAAGTCCAGGTTGAAAGCTCTTGTACACTCTTGGCTGTTCGATGCTCATTCTTCAAAATTCGTGGTGTATAATATATATTCCAACTACTCTTCCTCGTTTCCTCACTCTCTTGTTGCCTGCTACAATTTAGGCCGGTGAACAGATCCAGATCTGTCAGCTGTATCTGTATGTTTGTTGTTCATCATGTTTTGTTGTGGCCTGTGGCAAAAATATGTCATTCATTAATTAATTCAGTCAGTCATTCAATACAAGACTTTGAGATATAATGTTAATGATATAAGTTACGGAAGTAAGAGGCCCCGGCCAGAGCACTTAAGGCTTCGGCAGGTAGACACGTTACCTGATATGTTTACGGGTATTTCCGAAGCTTTTGTGTATTGTACATTTGACCTCAGCATAGACAGATGACGCAATTTTGAAACAAGCAGTGTGAAACCTGTGCCTGCTCAAGTCAGGCGCATAAAGCTAAGGAGGGGAGCTGTGCCCGCGAAGACAAGGATTTTTAGACATTTTGTTAGCATAGCAAGTGTCCGCCATGTTGCGGGTGTGTGAGAAACTCCGTGAGGCGGACGAGAAGGGCAGGAGGTACGGACTAGCCCGTGCAGAGACAGGCTACCTCCGTGCCCTGGTGGACGCCATGGCCGACACGGACAGGCTGGCGGAAGTGGAGCTGCTCAAAACTCTGGGCGACGTGAACGTGGAGAAAGGAATACTCGGGAAGGACGTGGGGAAGTTCAACACGGCCTTGGCGCTTTATCTGGCTGCTAAAGTACGGTGTTACTATGAAGAACAGGGAAACGTCATAGAACACCGCTACCACTACACGGAGAGGCTTTTAAAAGGGCTGTCGTCACAGGGTAAGGAACAGTCAACAGAAGACAAGGAGATGACTACACCTGCAAAGGTAGCAGCAAAGTTTCAAGATCTGGACAAGAGACGGGCTACCGAAGGTAACACAGACACTTTGCTGGTTGGATACGCTCAGGTGATGGTAGAGGCGATAGTAAACGACAACAGAATGTTAGAAACAGAAGCGATCAAGAGTCTGGGTGACGTGTACCTGAAAAGAGGAACAGAAACTAGAGACACTAGAAACTTGACCAGAGCTACTGCTCTGTACAACAGGGTACTGGCACGGTGTTACAACGTCCAAGGAACAGTTGTCATTGTTCACCGCTTACTGCACACCGCAAAAATCAGGCAAAACATCACCACAACAAAAAACAAGGTGAGTGAACTATTTTATTTTCCGTCATGTATCTTGCTGATGGCGAAAATAATCGTGTCACTTTTAATAGTGTTATGAGACTATTTCCGCTTGAATGATACTGACTTAATCTTCTTATATTGACTTTTACCTCATCGGCGGTTTGTGTATATCTTGACAGTAGGATGGAAATTGTTTTACTTTGTCCAAACACTTTGTATTCAACAGAGTTCATTTTGTTTATTTATTATATATTTAAAAATACTCATATTTACAAACAGCATTTAACAACAATTAAAATCTTTAAAAGTCCTCTATGCTACACAATCAGGCAGTATTCGAATCATTCAGCAGTCTAGCAAAGTAGGGGATTGGTGAGTTGAAATATCGTTTAGTTCTGCTTTTTATTGTCCTCAACATGTCAGAGTTTCTCGTGTTTCTGTTATGGACATTTCCCACTCTTGGCGGGAGAACTACTGGGTCCAGTTTTCTCGCAAACTTTAGACACAGGTCAGTTCTTCTGTGTTGAAGTGTCTGGAGGTCAGTGTCCTTCATGGCTGTGTCATAGGTCGTGTAACGGTCTCCGAGGATGATGCACAGCGCTCTTTTCTGGGTCATGTCAGGTCGTTAGCCTTTGACCATCGATCAAAGCCCATTGCGGATGACATGACCACCTGTTAATCGTATATACTACTTCCTATCGGTTCTCATAGAGGTCATCACGTACTCAACGGCAGAAAGACGTGAGCGGACAGAAGGGTCACTTCTATCCCTTCTCAGCTGCGCCCTCTAGCGACGGGAACACCGGTCACGTTGACGACGACATGTTAGTGCTTCTATGTTTCCTTGTCAGATGTTTAAGTGTTGTTGATTGTTTCAAACGTTAATAACTCTAAAACAAGGAATATGGGGCCATTTAGTATTTTGTTGGCTAGACATATATTACATACATACATATCAAATGTTAATGTGACGTTGTTAATAAAGAATAGGTTCAATGGACGACTGACTATTTGGTGCATACTATGTAAAACAGTTTCTTTTGTATGTGTCGTTTTTGTGAAACACGTTTATTTCACATCACGTTTCGGTGTTTTGTTGGTTTTAGCTCCTATCGCAGGCATATCCAGACGGCAAACCATGACTCCGAAAATGGAGACCTGGACGCAGCAGAGCAGAACCTAGCAGCCGCCCTGAAGCTTGTTCACGGTCTGTTATACACATTTTTTACAAAAATCCTCTAATCATGATAATTTGAAGATAAAGAAACCATGTGCTATTTGTACAGTGAACTCCGCGGTTGGAACACGAAAATCACCCTAGGAACTAAGTTGAATATAACACTTTTATATAAATATAACAATTTTTCTTCTCTTCTTCCCGCCTACAGATCGCAGTAAACCCAACAAGGCTAAAGAAGCCGACTGTCTGTGTAGGTTGGGTGACGTATACGTTGAGCGAGGTAAGCGGACAGGAGAAGGTAGAAAATTCACACAGGCAGCAGCTCTGTATAACGCTTCCATGGCTCGGACAGATGGAGACAAGCAAAACATGGTAACACGACTGCAAGAAACAGAAAGGCAGTTTCTTAAAAACGTATGTAACCTTGACTGCGAACCGTGTCCGTATAGTAGCGCGTTAGAGCACATAAATGAACTGGACAACTCGCGCGCCCGTGCAAAATCTCAGCTCGAAACAATTCATCAGGAACACAACCCTTATCAGTATGATGAAGACGATCCCGTCGTGAGAGAGGTAGAGATCAAACGAGCTGAAGCAATAAAAGACTTGTTCAAGAGCATCACAATTGGAAGACAAGAGTTTATCCAAGTACTGACAGATGAATGCATCGCCAAACTCGGACCCCCTCCCTGTAAGTACGCTTTCATCGGGTTGGGGTCACAAGCCACAGAACTGGTGACGCCGTACTCCGACCTGGAGTTCTCCATTCTGATTGAGGAGGGGAAGGATGGTGATGATACACGGAGGTACTTCCTAAATCTCACTCACTACTTACATCTAAAAGTCATCAACCTTGGGGAAACCATCCTCCCAGCCATGGCCATCCCGTCACTCAACGACTTTCTCTCAGAAGACCCAGAGAAAGATTGGTTCTTCGACTCCGTCACACCTCGCGGCTTCGCCTTCGACGGCTTCATGCCATGGGCTTCTAAGACTCCGTTTGGAAGAGACGAAACCAAAAGCAAACCTTCTGTTAGTCTCATCCAGACTCCTGCCAAGTTGGCCGAATATCAGCATCTGCAAATCGCCCTGGCGGAAGGCTATCACCTGTCAGACATCCTCAGACGGGTGGCCTACTTAACAGGAGACGAGTCTTTGGTGAACGATTATACAGACAGAGTCAATAAAAGTGCAGATCCTATTCTGTCACGGTTGTCAGCATATCTAATACTGATGGCTGATTTACGGCACATTGTAAATATCGAACCAACGGGACAGCTTTTGGATGTGAAGAAAGAGATATACCGTTTCCCCAGCGTGGCCATTGATGTGTTAAGTATTTGCTGTGCCTGTGGTATTACGATTCCGAGTGTGTGGAGACTCATAGAAGAGTTACACAAGGCACAGCGGATCAGTGACGAAGATGCCCACCACTTGATTGTACTGATAAGCATCTCAGCGGAGCTACGGTTAAGAACGTACATTGCCAATGGAGGACAGAAGGACAGACTGTCTCCTCTCACGGAGATGAAAGTCCAATTAGACAAAAATGATATAGATGACATCTCCGTTGAGTCAGTTTTCTACATACCGGACTCAAAAATGCTTTTTAGGTACTACTATACTGCCATCCCACTAAAGAACAGCATTACAAATTCAGTTGCAAAGGAAACAAGGGTGGTGTTTAAAAAACACACCGGCGACGTATTTTAATAATAAAATTATTACCTTCGCCAAGAAGGTTATGTTTTCAGAGGCGTTCGTGTATGTGTGTGTGTGTCTGTGTGTCTGTAAACAACATAACTTGAGAAGGCCTTGATGGATTGTCTTGATATTTGGTAGGTGGGTAGGTCTTGATGAGACCTCAAAATGATTAGATTTAGGGCCCCCTAGCGGCTTGTTATGGTACTGCAGCTAAACGTCCGGTTTTCATATCTCATGATCTAAACATGTTAGGGTGACGAAATTTAGATGGTAGGTAGCTCTTGTGCTGTGACGTGAGTTTAGACCCCCTAGCGACTTGCTCTGGAACTGCAGGGCTATATGTTTGAAAGTATTCAAAAGAGGATAACTCAAGAACCGGTTGATAGATAGTCGTTATTGTTGGTATGTAGGTAGCTTACGTGATGCTTGATATAATTATGTGATTTGCATAATTTATGGGGAAATTCTATAAATCAGCTGCATTCCATGATAGGACTATTGAAGCTCGTGAAATTGGTAATTGAGAACGAGAGAAACACAGGCAGATATTGATTATGTAAATGAAGACCTAATTTGCATAATTAATTTTATAATTATGTAATGATAAGTGCCTGGAATTTCATACTTGTGGTATTTGAAAGATAAGTGAAGGTGAACACTTATCTTTATCTTATGAAAACATAATGTATTCAAATTAGGACCTCATTTGCATAATTTATTAGGAAATGCTAGAATGGCATTGGTTGTTAATATAAGACTGTACATTGCGAATATGATAAATTGATATCCATGAAAATGAGAATGGAAATGAGCACCCTATTTGTTAAATCAGGGAGAATTGTTATATTATAGTATAAATTTGTAACCCTTTTGATATACCTTGTTTAAAAGGAATTTTTCTTATAACGGATTGTTGTTTTAGTACTACTAGTATGTCAAAATGTGTGTGCTTTTAACACCGTATTGTATGTAGGAAGTTGTATTGTTTGTTTTTGAGGATGCTAATATGATGCATGCATCAACGACTGATGAAATGTGTACCCTGAGCTGTAACTCACATTCGTATGGATTTATGTTTGATTATTTAGGAAGTACGTGAGTAAGGTATAGTTATTAGGAAAGAATGGTATCTGACGCAAGTATTACCAAATAAGGATGAGCTTTATAATAGGTATTGCCATATATAATAGACACGCTACGTGTACACCCAGTGGGTCTCCACCAGAAAGCAGACCGGGCGCTCGTCCAAGGTTCCCCAGATATCTGGTGTCTCCATATTCCACCTAACATGTCTGACTTTCCTCAGCGCCTTCAGAAATTCACGGAGGCGCTGAAGGGACTTGTGCAGAACTACCCCAAGGTCACAGTATGGGACCACAGACGTCTGTGGAGACGCAACCCAAATTGCAAACTACTTTGCGCCTGACGGCCTACACTTGTCCGATCTGGGAAACATCCAGTATTACAAAAGTGTCCGCGGGGCTTTAGACCGCCACATGCTCCTACACAGCGTCCTATTAAAGAACCCTATTGAATATGCGTGTGTGAGTCTTTTGTGCAATACATTATACAGCCGCATGATGGCTTCTGGCGCCTGGGTTCGTCACACAGACGATCCTGGGAAGGAGATCATGCTGGGCGAGGCAGACTGTCCGGGGAACGAGTTAATTATTGACGGGCCAATGCCCAAACTCCCTCCGTGGCTAAGTTCCTTTTCGTGACCAACTCCCTTCTGAGGTAACGGTAACGAACAAGCGTCGAATTTAAACAGATTTTTCACTCGTCTGTTGTCGGAGTGTACGAACTAAAACAAACTTTGTGAGATTACGGACATCATCACAAAAACTTTGTCCATTCTTGTGGTTATTTTCAGGCACGTGCTCCCATGCATAACGCCGCAACCTGGATTTTTCAAACTAGTACGGAATTAGGGGTAGGTCGGAATTAAGGCAGCCCCTCAGGATCTAAGTATTTATATCTATTTATCGAGAGATGCTGTTTTCCCTAGCGTCGCCAAAGAAAGGTACTTCGTATAGGTCCGTTTCAAATAGTGTATTACCACTGTGACAACATTTTATACCCCAAAATAGGAATCTTGCGTCATGTTTAGACCCGCTACGGTAGAAATAACGCAGTGCCAGATCGCCGCCGTGTATATACGTTACGTACTAGCGAGCGCGCACGAAAATACCACCCGAGTAGAGTAGGTTATCACAACCCTTTAGAAAGACACAAAGAAAACAAAAACGACAGATTTGCATTAAGAAAGGGAAATTTATGCCGGACTTGGCCGGACACGAAAGCCGATCCTGGACCGCTAGGTTTACGTTGACCAGTGCATTACGTGCACGGGGAATTCCCGGTTTGTACCACACGGGGTCTCCTTGTTTGTATCGCACGGGCCACGCTCAAACTTTTCTGGAATTGACCAATCAGAGCTCGTTAAAACCATTTGCTCTCTTCACGCGTCCTTTCCACAAGCAGGACGCTCATTTACATGCTCATTTAGCCAATGACTGGTGAGAGCAGTCAGCGTCAGGATTCAGTCGACCACAGGACCCCAGGTTAGTAACACACACTCTGTATTAGCTCTCTGTAGTTCATATCCCTTGTGGGTTCCACTCCTGTAACTTAGATCCGAAACTAGACCACTGTAACTCTAAAACTAGACCATTGACTTTGTATATATACAGCAGATCACAATACAGCAACCCGTACAATCGAAATCGACCCGGCTCTGTGTTTTACTTGGTTAACTAGCAAATCAGATAGACGCGTAACCGTGACGTAAGTAAAGTTAGACCAAGAACTAAACCGAGATCCCCAAAATACTACACTGATTCCTCTTAAATTCTACACTGGTTCCCATACCGGATTGTACGTCAAGTTGTTGTCCTGTGAACACTGCTGTAATTGCTAGAATTTTCGTTAAAAGTTGCCACACACTTCGTATAGTTCGTAGCTTTGACCATCTGCTAAGCGTCCCCACGTGTTCCGCATTTTCGGCTAGCTTTCTCGGCCTGTTTTCCAAACTTTGCTAAGTTTATGGTTCACTTTGTCCGGCTGATTTTGTGGCGCTTTTGGCGTTATTGCTTTTCCCGTACCCCAACTTTTTCGGATAGAACGTTTTTCTCCGGTTAGAAAAGCCGAGTTTCAGTTTCTGAGAATCCCTATCTAAGCTTCACTTCACGGGTGGTCCTTTGTTTGTGTCGCATCTTGCATTCCTGTGCCATCTTGTCCCAGTTACCCCTGTGGTGTAACGGTCGCCCCTCACTGGTCATTTCCTGCCCTTCTGTGGCTGTATTGTTTCTGAAAGCTGGTTTTCCATTTTTGATGCGCTTTCCCATGCTTTCTTGTGTTTTTATTGCCCCGTCTAGCCCCGTTCTTTTGTGCCCTAGTATTTTTTCTCTCCGCTAAATTTGCCCTTTCCTGTTCGGCTATTTTTTTCCTAATCCTCCTGCCTGGACTTTTTGTTAGTCTGTCCTTCACTATGGCCCCAAAAGTTGACTTTGCCTTTGGTTTTGGAACTTCATATCCCGTCTCGATTCGTTTGTGGAAATTCGAGCCAGTACGGCCAGGGGAGTTGTTAGCAGACATTCCCGCGATGATAATGAAGACCTTTATTGTACATTTGTGTTCTACAGAACTAAGTACAGGTCGCATGGATACAGAACATGAACATGAACATATATATTACATACAAATGAACATATAAGAGCGTAAATAAATGTCTAATTTCTATTCTTTTCGGCTTCATCTCGCTTAGTAGTGATTGTATGGATATATGCGGCTGTGAGATCACTTAGAGTAAGTTTATCGAAAGTTAAAAGGAATACAAATTTCTCTTTACTAGTCAAATATCTGAAGTGGGGAAATATACTAATACATGGCTAAAAAATATGAGTCTATCTCTACTATACAAGGGGCAATCTATGGTGAAATGTATTTCATCTTCTATTTGGCCTAAACTACAGAATTGACAGGTTCTTTGTTCTAGAGGAGTGCGGTTATGTCTTCCTGATTCAATTCGTAATTTGTGACAACTGATTCTTAGTTTTGTAATGGAGGACCTGTGACGTATGTTCGCTAAGTTGAGATATTTTTTCTTATCTTTTCTTATCTATATTTTTCTTTTCTATAATGACAGTTGACACGAGGCTAATCACCGCTGTTTCCCTACAGTTGCCCAGGCCGGCGGGCGTGGAGATACGTAGCCCCTCTGCCTTCTCTCAACCAGGGATACAGACATAAAAAGGTGAGTTCATACGTACTTTTATCCATAATTTTACAGGGTGTGGATGTTTGGTAACGTCGGCCAGTTTTGGCTAAGTTAATTTATAAGGCGCAGAAGGACTGCTACTTATGCAGTTCACAGCTGTCATGTCAAGTGTACTTTTGACGCACATTCTATATCAGCCTTGTCTTCAACTGTTTTCTACGTTTCGATGACTTGTTTAGGAAATGTACACCTTGTTTTGAAGAAATACATTTCAAACCGCTACCATTTGCTCACGGTGACGTTCGCACCACGATATGTTTTGGCCGAGATCTTTATGAGGCGCGGTGTGGGGCATATTACTGTTGACTTACTTGCTGTGGATAGAGGGTAGCCATTTAAACGGGAGATTTGTCAGGTATCATATACAATAATGGTAGGAGTGTATTTCATGTATAGATACCTTCAATGTGTGAAGTCCTGTCTATTGTTTTGTCCTGACACTAGCAACAAGCCTCACACCTTATCGGACCAATGACAGCCTTTCTTCTCTCCATACAGTTGCAATACCATGTGCCTTAGCTAGTGCGCAAGCTCTAGCCGGCAGTTGCAGTGCTATAGCCGGGACAATCACATATGCCAGAAGCCGTGGTCACAGCTGACTCAAGCCTCCCGGTCACAGAGCTGATCATCACAACTGACTCCAGTCTCCTTTGTGTCAAATTGTGTTTCGATATTGTTGATGATGGTAGAAGAAGCATGTTGATATCATATGTGTATTAAGTAGTTGCATCGTCGACAGAAAGAAGGAAACATGGGAAGGAACCAGATCAGTAGCAGAGCCATCACGTGCAGGCTATGTAATACATTGCTAGCCACAGTAAACCTTACACCAGTTAGAGATTACTGGGGTGACTTACATACGTCTGTACTACGATGATACATTGCCTGTGTTTTACGGTATCTTAGTGTATATATTGTAATGACCTATTTTATATGTATTTAGAAAACCTCGCCAATGACGGTTCAAATCGAATCGAGGAGAATGTACACATTTTAAAAACCATGAAGATGCTGAACAATCGGTGTATATGGGAGCAGTGGTACGATTGCACTCTCTAACTAACTTGTAAGAACATGATAGTGCAAGACCTGATGAAACTCCGAACAGTTCCCTTGTAATTACTTAGACAGTTCTCTGTTATTGTAGTCCCTGTTATTGCTCCGGTTACAAATATGTTTGTTTCTTTGAACAAATGTATTATTCTTTGCTGAAGTGATGTACCACTGTTATGCGGTAATACAGAATACCATGGAGGTATGAGAATACTAAGTATAAAGACACAGGATTTCTACAACAAGGGACGCCAGTTCAAGAAGCAAAAGATAACTCAGTTAAGACTGAAAGGGTTAACGTATCCAGTATCATATAGTCATATATATAGCCAGTCCGTCTTAAAAGTCTCCCGTGCCCAGTGTGCGGAAAGCCTTGTCTCTGCGTCTTTCCTTTATCCTCACATAGTTGCATTGAAAAGAACTTTATAATTCATCCGTTGGGTTTATGTCCAAACACATACTTTTCATAAAGAGAAGGAAAACTACTAGAAAAAAACAACAACCAAACGCGGTAACATATTGGTTTATATTCAGACAATCACATTTGAAACATTTGACTTCAAATGCTGACCATGTTCAATTCCAAACAATGATCCTGACCAAGCTGTCGAAAAAGCTGCAAAGTCATTGAAAAACGGCTAAACAGCTGGGAGGGAAGACCTCACCCGCAAGGTGTTGCCAAAAATGAATTCCCTAGGGAATGCGTGCGTGGAATATTTAGAATTCCTGGCAATTCAATCGCAGTACTATACTAAGGGCTCCGCCCCTGAGGCGTCGCCAAAAAGAACGGCAAAGATATTCCCAACAGCCATCTTTGACATCTCATCTGAAACAAGAGGTCGAATAAAACAACAGCTAATGCAGTTAGACGCATCCATACCTCACTTTCAAGCAGCACTGGAAGAGTCGGGCAGTGACAAGGAGAAACAGTTCAAAATACTTTTTGAATTAGGCAATGTCTTTAGCAGTCGCAGTAACTATATGAAAGCGATCAGCTACTTCGAACGGGCACTTAGCATTGGAAATGCTATCAGTGGAGACACGAAATTGCATCCCGTAAGTGAGCTTTGCGTTAATGCCTTATTACTTTGTAAAATTGGGTCATGTTGCAATAGAATTGGCTATCAGAGTAAATCCATAAATTACCTCGAACAGACATCGATGATGGTGAAAGATATCTATGACAAAACAGCAGCGCATACCGCAATTGTTTCATCATTAAACAACATTGGGACATGTTGGAGTAAACTTGGTGATCAGAGAAAAGCTATCAGTTATCACGAACAGTCACTGAAGATGATGAAAGTTATCTATGGCAAAACAGCAGCGCATACTGCAATTGCTGCATCACTAAGCAACATTGGGACATGTTGGAGTGAACTTGGTGATCAGAGGAAAGCTATCAGTTATTACGAACAGTCACTGAAGATGATGAAATTTATCTATGGCAAAACAACGCCACATCCCGACATTGCTGGATCACTAAACAACATTGGGAACTGCTGGAGTGAACTTGGTGATAAGAGGAAAGCCATCAGTTGTTACAAACAGTCATATAAGATGACGAGAGCTATGTTTGGTGAAGCAACAGCACATCCCGACATCTCTTCAATACTTAACAACATCGGGGGATGTTGGAGTGACCTTGGTGATCAGAGGAAAGCTATCAGCTATTACGAACAGTCACTGAAGATGATGAAAGCTATCTTTGGCAAAACAACACCACATCCCAAAATTGCTGGATCACTAAACAACATTGGGGCATGTTGGAGTAAACTTAGTGATCAGAGGAAAGCTATCAGTTATCACGAGCAGTCACTCGAGATGATGAAAGCTATCTATGGTGAAACAACGCCACGTGCCGACATTGCTTCATCACTTAACAACATTGGGACATGTTGGAGTTACCTTGGCGATCAGATGAAAGCTATCAGTTATCTAGAAAAGTCAATGAGGATGAGGAAAGCTATCTATGGCGAAACAACACCACATCCCGACATTGCGTCATCACTACACAACATTGGGGCATGTTGGAATGGCCTTGGTGATCAGATGAAAGCTACAAGTTATTACGAACAGTCACTGAAGATGATGAAAGCAATCTATGGTGAAACAACGCCACATCACGACATTGCTTTACCCCTTAACAATATTGGGACATGTTGGGGTGAGCTTGGTGACCAGAGGAAAGCTATCAGTTATTACAAGCAGTCACTCGAGATGAGGAAAGCTATCTACGGCGAAACAACACCACATCCCGACATTGCGTCATTAATACACAACATTGGGGCATGCTGGAATGAGCTAGGCGATCAGAGGAAAGCTATCAGGTATCACAAACAATCACTCAGGATGAGGAAAGCTATCTATGGCGAAACAACTGCACATCGATCCTGACACTGCCGATTCACTAAACTACATCGGTAAATGTTGGAGTAACCTTGGTGATCAGAGGAAAGCAATCAACCATTGCGAACACTCACATAAGATGAGGAAAGCTATCTATGGGGAAACGCCACATCCCCACATTGCTGAATCACTACACAACATTGGGGCATGTCGGAGTGACCTTGGTGATCAGAGGAAAGCTATCAGTTATTTCGAACGGTCACTGAAGATGGGGAAAGCTATCTATGGTGAAACAACGCCACATCCCGACATTGCGTCATCACTACACAACATTGGGGCATGTTGGAGTGACCTTGGTGATCAGAGGAAAGCTATCAGTTATTTCGAACGGTCACTGAAGATGATGAAAGCTATCTATGGTCAAACAACACCACATCCTGTAATTGCTGCATCACTTTGTAACATTGGATTATGTTGGAAAGAACTCGGCGATCACAGTAAAGCCAAGAGGTTTTTGGAACTGTCACTGAATATGGTGAAAGTTATCTACGGGGACAACCCGGCACATCCAAACATCGCAATAGTTTTGAACAACATCCGAGCATGTAAAATTGCGATCTGGGATTAGAGTAAAGCTGTTAGTCATCTGAAATCGACACTCAAGATTAGTTAACTGCAAATCCTCAATCTGTCTGGCCAAATCAATCAATTACTCAATATCACCATCTCATTATGTAACTTTATTGCTCAACCATTTGACTATTAAATATACAACGTATGACTGAGAAATTCTATTTGTTCACATCGATTCAACTAAACTAATAAACTCTACAAAGCATGTGATGGGACTATGTATCTGTGCAGTCATCGGTGGAACACTTATTCAGTTTTCTAACATTTATGGTCCTGTATATGTCCATGTCAATACTTTCAATAAAGGAAATAAGTCATACGATGGTTCTGGATGGGTTTAGCGCAGTGAATGAATGAATGAATGAACACGAATTTACCCACTTCCAAATGACTAATGTAGAAATGATTAGATTTTGGACCTAATTTGCATAAATCAACCTCGAAATGATTCGATTTAGGACATAATGTGCATAATTAATGACAAAATGCCATAATTCCATAGTGGCTCCCCATTTGGAAGTTAAGTGCTGGTGAACATATTTAAACATAACTTATTCAAATGAGGACCTTATTTGCATAATCAATGAAAACATCTACAATCTGTCAGTTGTTAAAATCATTTGGTGAAGGAATGAGATCGTGGAACTCTTGTTTCAAGGAGTTTATTTAATCCCATGTCATGATTCTGAACATTAAAATGACAGCACACCAACAAAACAATATAAACATATTCACATTTGTACACAACATGCAAAACAAATTCAGACCATATTATAAAATTATGATCAATCTAGACTTATCAAACTTCCCAATTAAACCATAGCTGGGTGTGAACAAAAACATTACATTTCATGTCAAGCATGTACAGTTGAGTTGTTGTATTTTGATATCAAAACATTGTTGTGAACACCAGACTGTTAAAAAGCTACAATAGGGTAATGAAAGACTAGCATTATAAATTTTTTGACCCATACATGGTAGTTCAGTGGGTTCTGATGGAAAATATGATAACTCATCTCTGACATGCAATATATGAAGTTGAGCATCATGTTTCTTAAGTTTCTTTTGCATTGCTAATCTCTAGCCATATTAAGCTTTATTCATATTCATATACATGTACATGTATATAGCTAAATCACATATCTTCAGATTTTCAAATTCAGATTTTCACACATGAATAAGATGAAAGTGGTACATTCAAACTATGGTACAAGTACCCGTTGTGATCCGATCTCAACATAAATATAACTCAGTCACCTCTATTCTACCAGTGATTTTCAAATATCAAACTTTCCAACCAAGAAATCAAACATTAACTAATCATACAATAATATAAAACTCTGACTTATAAATCCTCTTGCTTCTCTTTTTTACAGTGACTCTACCTAAGAAACTCCATTACATATAGATATCATTCCATTGTCAAAAATGACACTTGATGTTAGAATTAGAAATGGAGAAGCAAAAAAAATACAACCCTCAGCATGCAACATTGTGTGGACACTTTGCAGCAATTTGTATTGAGCTAATATAATATAATTATGATATAATATAATATAATATAATACAATGTATTTATTGCTCTTCTTGTTTCCCATCAATACCAAATGGCACGAACATTATTACTAATTAGCTTTTGGAGCGTTGAGCTTGAACTACATGTAATACAGGTACACCTTCAAGAGAATAGTTTACACCATAAATATGCTGAAAAACTGTATATGAAACTACTGGTTATAACTAGCACTATTAACTAGCATGGCTGAGCTTATTATCTTCAGCAATACCACTAAGAGCAAAAATGTAACCATAATTGATGTCTTACTGTTAGTAATGGTACATGCAAGAGTTAGTTGATGCTACATGTATATATCAGATATAGCAGTATCATGCAGGAAATAAATTTGATTGAAATCCATGCATGAAATAGTTTGATAGACACTATTCTGGATATACATTCGAACTTTTAACAACATTTTGTCAAAGGGTTGACAGAGTTTTCAACGAGCAGCTACCTTTTCATGTACAAGATGCAATTCTTCCAGTTTTCAACTTTACTAAATCCATTCACTACTTTTATATCAAACCCAACTCTATAGTGCACTACTTATCTGACCAAAACAACACTGGTCACTGTAAATTAGTAAGTACGGATTTACATTTAGTAGTATCTGTGAAGTTAGTTCTAGTGAAATTGTAGTTACAGCCATTGTGAAGTTAATGCCTTGTCTGGCAGTGAGCTTATAATAAACTCAATCATCATTAGTCTACTGTGCTAAACTGGGAGACAGGATTAATACAACTCAACTGATGGTCACCGAAATTCAACAAGATGACTCTCTGGACTTTAGCGTCAAAACGCATGAAGTGATGAACCATTTGGCAAAGACCTTGTGGGTCTAACTTGTGACATTGGCAGGAATATCTAAGCTCCATACCGAAAGAGTGGTCTTGAAATCATTTTAAAAGATAAAATAACAGCATCCTCAATTTGCTCAGAGGCAGTAGTGTGCATAGTCCAGTGGCTAGAAGCCCTGCCTTGCCTTGGGACCAAGAGGTTGGGAGTTCAAATCCCACTCAACATGCACACTACTGGAAAGGTCCTTGTGTTAAAGAGCTTAGGGAATTTCAGTTAACCTGTAAAATACTGAGTGTACAAAGTGCCTGTTTTCTCCATGGGAAGATTAGATTTTCAGTGAGCTAAACAGTTTCGACATCACTTTTTTTTGTTGAGAGTGTGTATGAATCCTGTCTCAAAGGTGAAAATAGTGAAGACTACAGCTGCAGCTGTTCCGTGCAGGTGACAGGTGGCTACTAAGCTGCAGCTGTTCCGTGCAGCTGTCTGGTGACTACTGGTGGAGAGCAGACTGTCTCATCTCATGCACAACACACGACTTGTAGCCGTCCCAACCCTCATGCTTGATCAGGTGACTCTGCAACACCAAATACACACAGACGTTACTGGGAGCTGAAACTTTCAGTTACTACAGTCAAACCAGGAATAGAAAATTGGCAGCTAAATGGCTACTTTAGTGTGATAAAGAGTAAGGAACTCAAATTATGTATTGGCTATGGTAAAAGTCTGCCTGGGAGAAGGATAAGACAAGTGCACCAAAGGGATGGCATTTCAGTACTATAATTGATTCACAAAGCATGTTTCAGCACCAAGGAGAGACCCTGTTATACATAGTCATTGTTATTAGTACATGTATATGTACATGTCCATCACATAATCATCTGGGAAGAAAAACATCATTGTATTAGTAGAGTGAATAAAACATTACTAAGTTGTTAGTATCATGCTGACAGCCATTTCTGTAATGAAAGACATGTTATGAGGACAACCCAACCCAATCCAATGCAATAGAGTTTTGATACTGTACAATCACCAGTTGTGAGCATATACTACACAAGCCATAACCACAGACCTTCACCAACACACATGTACATGTACTTCCTCTTCCTATCCCGTTCACAGACCTTCCAGTAAGCAAAGTGCATTTTGGAGGAAAGTTTCTTCTTCAAGATTGATTAACCTTCCTTCCTCACTCATTCTGGCATCCTTAACTATTTCATATATCCTTTTGTTGGATGTCCCTCCACCTAACATACAAAACCTTATCATTTCTGAAAAGTTTCCATCTTGCTCTTTTCCATATGTGAAAGTTTACAACAGCCATCTTCCAGATTAAAACACCAGCTTCACTACCATATAACAATTGGCAATATATTCATATTTAAGACACAATTATTAGATTTTACGAACTTTAATGTCATTATGTAGTGTTCCTCCAGTAAAGAGATTTTTCACACATTCCACAAGTTCAGTCATTTAAGTTGACTTTACTGCTGTCTTCAAAAACTAACCTGAAGTGAGGAAATTTTTACATAGTATACAATAGCTGATGATACGAACAGAATTCATAGTTGCATAAGATAAGCATGATAGGCTTGTCGGGTGAGAAGATTTATTAAGAGAAGTATCCTCCACTGTGTCTGCGTGACTGCTGGTCGTACTGCCACCATTTCATCAGTGGGTTCTTCTTCACTTTCTTCTTAATACAGGAGGCAAAACTGAACCAGTCATCAGCATACTCATAGTCTTCTCCAGGCTGGGAGGGTGGGGGAAGTTAGACCAAGAAAGAGGTAAGAACAAGAAAGAAGCATTCTAAGGGATTTAACAATTTCCTTGCAATTCATAAATATCATTAAGATGATTGGATCAACTGTACATTCCTTGTTCCTGTTTAAGGAAAAGCTACAATCTGAGCATGACCTAAGACAAAGGTTTTATAAAAAAAAACAATTTTAGTTTTCTGTCATGAAAGTTCATCTGTGTTGGTAGTTACATGTTTAAAGTTAAAACTTTTGGTCCAACACAAATTTAAAACTTTTGGTCCAACAAAATTCTATGAGGAAGACCAGAGTGACTGGTCGAAAGCTCTAGGTGAGAGAACTTTTTGTGTTGGACCAAAAGTTTTAACTTTTGGTCCAACTTTAAATTTTAGTTTTCTGTTGTTGTTTTTAAATTGTCCTAAATCATGGTCAGATTTTAGCCTTTTTTAATCATGCAGAACCAGGGAAAAGAAGTACAGTTCACCCAAAAATCTTAGTGGTATGTATGACTTGAAATGAATTCTTACGAACTCTATTCACCTAAGATGGTCAAAGATAGAGAAAAGTGCAACTATGAATTATATTTGAACAACAATGTCAACTGAAGAGAAAGGTGACAAGTGCAACACTGCTTCACAATTACCCTGTAGGAAGCATCTATTCTGCAAACACACCAGGTAAAAACATAAGAAGGTATTAATTAATGAAACCCAGCACAGCAGGTAAGTTATTACAAGCTGTCAACATTGACAAATAACACAGGTTAGTTTGCTGTTGAGTTGGTGAATGGCACACAGAACAAAAAAAGCGTGGTTCAGGCTTCTTGGACACCTGTTGCTTAATGTCTTTCTTGAATTTAATTTCAATTTTGATCTAAAATATGAACACATCGTAGAATGTACTGCACCTGCTTGAAAGCCCTTAATAAATTAAGCATCGCACTTGGGCAGAACATCTTGTTTAAGGTCGCATTTGAGTATCCAAGGATGACATTCTGTCAATAGTATTCTAATGTTGTGTAGGAAAAGATATCATCTGCAATAAGTAAAATTCAGATGCAACGTTGACCAAACATCCAGCAAAAACGGTGAAAAATCCAAGTTTCAAACAGGCACGGTACGGTCTGCCGACATTACTGACGTACAGCAAGAATTCCAGAATCGATTTTTGCACAACGATTTACAGATACATGTAAGCAGGGTGTTCAACAAGCCTGAGCAGAACTAAGGCAGGAATGCTTACTGATGTGGCTAGGGTTGGACATGGTAGGAGCGAGGTGCAACACTTAAGCTGTAACCACATCTTTAAGACAAGTCTTGTAGCCTTCCCAGCCGCTGTAAGTCTCAGCCTTTTTCTTCTGCACACACAGGTAGGGACAGGAGATAGATTACACATATTATTAATAGTAATCAAAGCTGCAAGGATACACATAACTCTTGTGAAACATGTGTCCAACAGTGTTGCTGTTTATGAAAATATATACAGTACTTCCTTTCTAGAAATACCAAAAATTGAAACTTTACTACTGGATAAAACACAGAGATCACTTACGGACATTTCAAGAGACATCCCTCACTCTTCTTCAGCATCACTAAATGAATTGGCAGGACTTGTCAACAATTAGGTCACTTGAAATGTCCAAAAGCAATCTCTGTATACTATCTCAAACAGTAGTAGAGTTTGAATTGTCTCATAGATGAGTATTGTACACCTGAATATCTAACCTCCACCAAATACCTTTATTTCATGGTTGAAAAGTTTAAAATTTTACAGTACACTGTTGTTGTATGATCAAAACTGTACTCACTCTTTCTGGGACAGATAAATGAGAGTTCTGTTACACTACTCATTAATTTGGACACAGTGATTGCGATTAAGCTATTGATGTTTGCTTGAATGGTGCCATACATGTAATTCTACATGTTAATGCATTTTGGAATGCTATAGCAGCATGAGGGCAAAATGAATGACACTCCAATGGCCACCTTTAATGTAGTGAAACAAATTCAATGTGACTGGAAATGATGTGTCAGGACACAAAAATGGGTATCAATTTTGCCATCTGCTCATTTGATTTACTTCTGCAAAAAGTTGGTTACAAGCCTTGTGGGACACATGTTTCAAAGAATTCACAAATAAAGCATCAATGAAAAAACATAGTACATGTAGATGAAGACGGACACTCGACATAGGTGTGCTTGCCGAGAGGCAACAATTCTACAGAAAAAGCACTGTAAAGCAACTACAATTAGCATACGGCATCATCTGACAACAAATAGAAGCTCACACACAGTGCCCAAGCCACAGACACTTGGTGTGGTTTGCAAGAAGTTGAAAAATCCTAATATGACATGGAAAGTCACTGACAATGTGGTATACAGTTTACCATTTGTGCTGACCAGTTTATTTTTAAATGATCAGAACAAGCTTTCTTTTATCCTTACTTTCAATAATCCTTATTATCCTTGACATACAAACAATGTAAGTAAGTAGGTTGTTTTACACTTCATTTCTGTAAAGTATAAAACTCCATAAATACCGTAGACACAAACCAGTGTTGACAAGGTCTACTCTCTATATAAGAACTGTTCAAGCTGGAAAAACTTGCATGTTTCACAAGATTTGGGCATAAACTGAATAGATAAGTTAAAAAGTTACTTCGAATCTTTAAATCTAAGCCTATATCTTTGCCCTGAGTCCCTGCTGTACTCCCCCTGAATCCCCAGTTTAAATTTTTGCCCTAATATAATAAGCCCCTGCTGTACTGACCCTGAAACCCCGGTGGATGCGGTCCTTCATGACGCTGATGAACTCCTTGTGGCTCAGCTTGCCGTCCCCGTCCTCGTCAAAGATCTGGAACACCGTGTTGATGACGTGAGGAGCCAGGTCTATCCCTGTAGACACCTTCACCGCTCTCTTGAACTCAGCTGGAAAACATTCATTATGCAACTATTAACATTACCTCTCACATACCAACAAACAAACGATGGTAGAAAAAGGGTATGCTGTGATTTTCTGGTACATTCAAGTCATATAATATAATAATGTAGATACAGTGAAGAATAACATAACATAATTCAAAATAAAATGAATGACACCCAATCAAAGCACATAAATCCACTATGAAAGATCAGAGAAGATGTACATAAGATAGATTATACATTCTGTATCTGTATCTGTATAGCCGGTATAACCGCCCTTCGGCGTAACATATGTACACCAGCTTCACAGGAATGAGGGGCGGCAGCAGCTGGCTATATTACACTGAACAACTTGTTACTTTGTTAAATATTATTTGCATTTTTTAAAAATCATGACATTATGGTAGACTTTATAATTTCATACAGTCAGGATCAATCTCAGTTTATTTGACACAGGCAGAATCAATTTCAGCTTCTCTGGGAGATAAAGTCACTGAACAAAACAAAACATACCTTGCTCCACAGGCTGGTTAGCAAACGTGTACATCTGCATGGCGATAGCAAAGTCATCCAAGTTGTTCAGGAACTGGAAAAAGGGCTTGAACTGGTCAAAGGTGATCCCCTGTAAAATACAGACAAAATCAAAGACACATCCATACACAGGCCTGCATTAACATTGTATACATAACAGTAAAGATTTTACACTTAACCAAGTGATGCCCCAAGCTTGCTAAAGCAGGAAAGATATTAAATTGTTACATTTTGTATCGACACCAGTCCTATAAACTTCAGCAATATCCATTTAAAGGAAAACCGTGGCAAAGCGGGATCAAAAGTGGGAACAGAAAGCATTTTACATAGTACATAGTCTTTCTTCCCTTAACCACAAGCCTTTTATTATAGCCCATATAACCCTTCAAAAATTTGATCACCCTTCGTTTGAAAAGATTTTCTCCAGCTCCATCTTTCACAATATGTTCTCCTTCTACTGGTGTTTCAGTCTCTGACTATAGTAATACATACATGTAATATAGTGTTTTGATAAGTGGAAAAACTTCATGGCAGACTCTTAACCATGCATGACAAAAGTCTAGAACCCTTTCACCCAAGAAATTATTAAAACAACAATTCTAAATCAACTGCAAAATGCTCAATGAAAGACATATTTTGGCCCCAACGGTTGAAGAAAGTCCTTTTCTTCCTAGTTGTTAAAGTTTTTCAATGTAACAATGCAATTCTGTTTCATTTAAAGTTCAAAGTCTGTTGTTCTAATTATAAACCAGCCTGGTATGTTGACTTCATGGCTCATATTGTAACATTTCCGGCTATCATGGGGTGCCTTGGCCTGTTTTTTTTTATTTTTTTATTTCGCCCTGTCGCTTAAATATTTTTTCCGAAAAAAATCTGAGAAACGACAAAATTAAATTGGTGTGGCCTAACACTGATAAAAAGACCACTGTGACTCAGTATTTCCACATACCTTCTCCTCCGGGATCCTGTCCTTGAGTCGCTCGATGATTGCGTCGTGAGCAGCGTCGGGAAGGTGTGTGTAACGCAGCAGGATCTGAGCAAACTCGATCTCCGAGATGGTCGGCATGCCGCGGGCAAACTCCAGGAAGTACACAGGTTAAGGAGAGGGATAAAGGCTTACAACAAAAAAAGAGTCACAAACTGTAACTGTCTATTAGTAAAAAACATAACATCTGTAATTTAACACATTAAACATATGTAGCACCATTGACCATAGGTGTTTTGGGGATATAAAATTTCATGATCTGATTCACCAATACCACATTATATCATCTTAGAAAACTCCTAAACTTAAGGCAAAAGTGGTACACTAAGTCTGGCTACTTGAGTATACACTAATAGTATGTTTACTTAACATTGTACAATGCCCCTTGAATTTCACTACAAATCTTACTGGTAGATGCCAATATGACTACTGTACATTTTGATTGCATAGTAATTGCAGCAACGGTATGTAATATGGCTTCTGAACACTGTGTTGTCTGTGAGTAACTGATAAAGGATATCTCCAGCTCTAGAATCTCAGTCTGCAGATTATCCATGAACCTGTGAGGACAAAACAAAGAGGATGATGAGACATTTCCACAACTTTTATATGTATATAAGAGACAAATGTACTAATTCTTTTATCTTACTGCTAGCTTTGTACATACATGAAGATGTTTGCCAGTCTCTTCAATAATGAAACAACATTAGTTTGTTTCTTACTTGTAAAATTCTTGGAAGTTGAGGTCATCTTTGCCCTTGGCACCAAACAGGTGCACCAGTAGTGTGGTGTCCTGCACGTTTCCATCTGCTAACAGCTGGGGGGGAGGGGGGCAAAACAAACTGTCAGAAACACTTCTCTCACAAGCCAACATGTAGCTGTACACAGCATCTGGGTTCACCTAGTCATGTTTCTTGCATTTGTATTCATTTTTCACACCTACAAGCACCAAGCCAATAACAATTTTTTTTCTTCTTTAGGTACAATAAACCATGAATAACTGTGAGAGCAAAATTGTCACCATCAAAACTTTCTCACCTTAAACCCTGTCAGTAAGCACTTCAGAGTTTGTAGTTAAATGAGACCTATGGTATCATAACCTTCACTCATATCTGTTTTTGTATTCCACTGACCATTTTACTGCTGTGCACAGATGTTGACTTTTCAATCTTAGTGTAGGCTTTATGAATTGATAAAATACAGCAAGCCTTAGTTTCGTTTAGTTGTACCTTTAGCACCAATATGTTCAATTCTGATAGCTCCTTGTAACCCTAAGTAAATTGCATTCTTTTTAAATTACTCTTGGATCAGCACTGATGCCAACTGATCTCTTTGAGATTGTAGGAGATGCGGAGGTCTGAAAATAAGTATGATTAGCAAAGGGAATGGCATTGGCATGGCATACAGTACAGAACTTGGCATAGCAACCATACAGGAGTGATTTAATAACGGTATAGGAGATACTCTAGTCTAAAGCTGTCATTTCACTGCAACAGGATTTCATTGGCTAGGGTGTTGCCATGACAACTGTAAATGAATCACCATGGCAACAGCGTAACCATGGTAACAGACCTATACTAACCCTGGGACCATAGCAGGAGATGCCATGACAGTCATGAGGAATGTATACACTAAAACATGCAAGCTATGGAATCTATGGAACAGCCAGGCTTACAGCAATTTGCAATAATTTTTTTCCTCCTAAAAATTAACTTCTTACCACAGTGCAGCTCATTTCAAAGTATGTACATGACTTTAAAAATAAGCCACACTTGTAAGTACTAGTTTACACAAAGTCAGAAGTTCTTATTTTTTCAATAAACTTCCTTGTTTCCTAGCAATTCCAGAGACTTAGGCTGCTCCTGAGAGCCAGTCTTCTACACATAATTCTACAAGTTACAGGCAAGGCTATAGCAAAGACTTGCAGGCAGCAGTGTGGAATACAGGAAGGCAATACATGCATGTAGAATCATGGAGGAAGAAAGGCAGTTGGTCAGGCCACCATGATGACCAGAGAACACAAAATGTAGGAGGTTCAGAAACAGAAAGAACTGAAGAGATAAACCTTGCAATATCATTACTTAAGACAACTATTAATATGAATTATCACCAATTTATGTTTCTTTCTTTTTTCTTTCTTTTCCTTGAAAGATCAAGTTCATTCAAACTATTCTCTATACTGTTCTCCAATTATACAGTACATAAAGAGTGAAAAATCTGGTGTTAACTGAAATTTTACCTGTTATACAATTAGGACCAAACAACAAATTGAAGACAGTTAAATGTACATCCTACATATGAAAGATCTTCTATTTAAACATAATGAAATTCATAGAAATCTAACCGACTTAACAAAATGTTAAAGATTGGAACATTTTTATATGCACAATTATATGAAGTTGAGAACAGAAGATGTAAAATAACCCATATGATGTGCATGATGCAGGGTTGTGTGCATGACACTGAAGCTCAGCTGTGTGGGGTAATATGCCATTTCTACTTCTTTTGGACCAACTCTTCAGTCTGAACTCAGACATTCAATGTACACTGAACAATATTGACAGGGACATATACTTCAAGTCCAAACTTTGTGCTAAATGTTCAGTAAGGTACTTGAGTCTTTAATACCCAATGAAACATATTATAAATGAAAATTATTCTCTTGGACTTAAGAGTTTGTAGGATTGTACATTTTGATACTTAAAAAGAGTCTTCAAATCACAAAGTGACTGCACAGAAAGTAACGCTATTTTCTAGTGATTTTTCAACTGAGATTTCCCTTTCTTCATAATCATAATAATTTATTATATATTAATGTACATTTGTGGCTCATGAAATAACACTGTAGTTTTCCAAAACATTTAAATAGCATGCTACATTGTGTAAATGGTTCATATATAAACACTGTAGCACTGAATTCCTCAAATGTACAGTATATAGTAGAACTGAATTCATAACATATAAGGTAATGGCTGTGGCATACATGCATGGGTATAACTTACTAACAGCCGCTACCGTAGTAGAATCTGATGTGTGTATGTGTGAAATACCTGTGCTTCCTTCTGTCTGCCCTGCATGGAAAATGGCAACATCAGTGGTCGTGTTCACAGTAACACAATGATCTGCCTGGTCACTCAAATCCCAGGCATCTCAGTATTATACAGAAGCGTGCAAAACTCTGCATGCATTATTACAACTGAGTTTTTCTACTACGCAACTGCAAAATTACTTCAAAAAACTTATTGATATGAGAAACATTGAAGGAAAACTAAAGGATAGTCTTCAAATGACCATGCAATTTATCAATAACATTTATGTCTCTCAGAAACAGGAAAATGATTCAGCCTGCAAGCAAATATTGCAAAAACTGTTCAACTTCTCAACATTTGATGCAAGAACTTTCAAACACAATTGACCATATCATGGAAGAACATTAGCATAACCATTAAAATGTGCAGTTGTCATCAAACCATGCCTAGCGTCTCGTAAATTCTTTTTAAGGTGGGAGGGGGGGAGAGAGTCCAAGCACAGGCTAACAGAAAACTGTAATAACTCAAGATGAGACTCGTTGTCTTGTCTGAGTCACTAGAATCTGTACCACAGTTTGTTGGAGGTGCAGAGGGCAGTCGTAAAGCATCATGCCATTCTCTCTCTCTCTTCATTGTCAATCGAACAAAGTTGTACAAAAGTATTGGTGGAGTGCAAGGTCAAATAGTCAAGGTGCAGATATAGAAGAGAAGGGAAAAAGGATGGGCACAAACCTCCAACACAGCCAGGGTATCCTGATAAACCATAGATGCAAAACAAGATGCGGAAATTATTCCCACAAACACGGGTGACCAGCGCAGTGGATGCCTCCGTACAGGTGGCAGTTAGTGAGTCAGAAAAGCACAACACAGGGACGAAACCACGTTATGAAAGCGGTGAAAAGCACAAAACGCACACGCACGCACACAAGGGAACAAACGTCACAGGATCGTTCAAAGCTCGTGGAATGTCAGTCTTGTTAGTAGGAGAGCCTTTGGTCAGCTTCCTTAAACCTTGTGTTTTGGTCCGACCAATAAGTGCAAAATAATAACCGTCTTTTGTACGTACATTGTATACATGTAACTGTTAGAGAATGTTTGAATAAGCAACTATATCTCAACTTAGTTGGGTTACTGATAATAACAGTAAATCAAATGCCTTTGAATAACACAGACTGTTTTACATGCTTCAATCATGCATTACAACTGAAAATAAAGTTGGTCATGACTTGTTGTTAATTCTTCATTCTTCAAAACCACAATATTAAACATAATATACTGGTAACTGGATTAGTCTTGACAGTTATCATTTTCATGCCAAATATCACTCATACAAGTAATCTGATCACTTTAAACAGCATTTACCATTATATTCTTGCTTCAACTCAACTGTTCAAAAACTGTTAGTACAGTCAGTTGCACAGGTTGGTCAGCCCCAAACAACAAGGCTTATGGCGTGCTGCTAAAGGCACTCTGGGATACATACATATTTCTGTACGGCACTCACGCCCTCCGCCTCTTCCTTCGCCTTACGCTTGTCGTTCTTCTTGCGGAAAATCTCCTGGAGCTGACAAGAGAGATACAAATTTTTTGGAGACATCTCAGGGAGGAGCCTAATGGTACAGTATTGTGTGCATTTTGCAAGAATTCTAGGAATGGTACAGGCATTTTGTCCACGGGAATGGAATGTTCACAGGCATGTCTCTGACCCACATCTATGCCCACATTCCTGAAAACCCTTGGGAAGACCTCTCTGCCCCAGATGGCCCTACTTTCTGTGACCCAGGGGCTCGTTCACTATACACTCAGGGGAGGAGTGCACTGTATCTATCTAGACTTAACAGGTACCAAGTCCTCAAAATTTTCCTCAAAATCATGAAAAATTAATGATTGCAGTGCCATGCAAACAATAACCCTAACAGCAACCACCGTCGCCATGGCAATGTATGTTTTCATTGTCAGTCTTGTTTATATATTCCAACATTTCATGACTTTACACAATGTGACGGCATGCTCAAGTTATATCAACTTATTTTATGCCGCCACCAACGCAGAGGAAAAATACAGGGCAAGACAATACTCATGTTCACTTCAATGAGTTACGTGAGGAAAGTTGTGTAAAGTGCCTTTCCCAAGGGCACAAGATTGGTGGCACGTCAGGAATCAAACACAGGACCTCTTGCTCATTTCTTACACTAGAAGAAACTGTAGATTTTGTATGCAATCCTCAGCTTCTTGAATTCCCCCAAGTGGACCACCATATTCCTGCTGGCTCCTGGCCAGATTCTGAGACCTTCATGCTCACCCCGTTTCCTGTATCTGAGCTTTTGACCTCCTGTCATTCTGCTGATCAATCTTCCCCCCACCCACCTGCTCTCAACCTACTCTGTCTGGACAGATACACAATTCCACAGCTAAACCACCTAAAACAATGCTGCCCAACCAAAATCTTTCTTACTATAGAATGTAACTGAGATGACAAAAAGACACATACTTTTTTCCCTTAAATCCCCAAATTTACAGTTTTTGGCTGACTGATTATCACGAAAGTGGAGAAACAAACTGTGCTGATGATCAGATGTATTTTCTGTCCAGTACATTCATGCCTCCTATCAGACAACATTAGAACTGCAGTCAGATTTCCCAACTTACCACCATGAACTCATTTTTGTCCACCCGCTGGTTCCCATCAGTGTCAAACATATTGAAAGCAATGTTGAACCCTGCATGAGGCTCTGTAAGGGGTAAATGTAGTGAATTATTCCATGTCATCTACATGTATGCAGCACAACAAGCTTTCAAGGATGCAAAATTCTTTTTTTAACAAATTTGCTCCATGCAAGGCCACATGAAATAATGCAAAAAGGAAGCTATTAATAGCAGTTTTCAAAGACTTACTTGTGAGAATACAGAGCAGGAACAGGTATTCTGTGAAAGAGATTATTCCTAGGGAAGGAAAGGAAAAAACAAATTTTACCTACGAAACATAATAATTGTTACATTACAACATTGCAGCAGCTTTTTGAAAACGTCCAGTTACCACAACCTCCCTGGGCTTTCTCTGTGTACAAAACCTAGAAAAAGAACATTGCACAACCACAAAATCCACTTATCATCAGAAATGAATAATGAAGTAAAAGATTTAAAATATCTGGTAGTGAGTTAACCTTGTAATCCTACAGTAAGTGCTCAAAGTTCAGTTTCAATCTAACGGTGTCACTTGGTTTAAGTCCTTACCTTCCTCATGCATGGAGCGGAAGAACTTTGTAGAACCCTTGTTTCGGGCAGGGGTCTTCTTCAGCATAAAAGCTACATCCTGTGGGACAAAGTCAAGTTGCAGAAGTTAAAAGAAAATTAGGCCGTACTGAGGGAGCATAATGATTCAGTACCTAGGGTAGAACGTACTGCACCTGTGTGGAACCCATAATGTATTGTGCATATCACTTCTGCAGAATGTCTCGTTTAAGGTCGTATTCATGTATTTAAAGATGCCGAGAGATTTGTGAGACCATGGTAACTTGTTAAATTTGGACCAACTATATATACATGTATATATCCTGATAATGACATGTCTTTAACCCCAGTGTGAATGAATGTTGAGATGAGGGCCACTCAGAAAACTACAATTGTATAAGGGCACAGCATCCCTGGTATCTAGATGATAATTATGGATCCTGGTGTAATGTAACCAGTAATCTAAGGATGTTCAAGAACAGTTTACTCACATCATCCATTAAGGGACGGCGACCAATGCGTGCTGCAGTTCAGAATACAAGAAAGTATTATTAGCAGATCATGAAGCTTTCATCAGCATACAAAAAGAGCTGAGTTGCACAGTGTGTGTACATGTACCTGTATCATAATATGTACTAACTGACACTGTAACAGTAGCATCAATTGCAAATTGACTTATTTTTGCTGGGATATAATATCCTGGTGGGAGTGGAAGGGACGTTTTTGTGGGGGTTTCAGTTTGTGGCTGAAAAATACTATAGCACTAAAACACATACCGGTACTTGTATTTACAGTGTGCAATACAGAAAACAGAGACCACTGCAAACATTTCCATATTTACAGTATACTATTGCACACACAGATGTAGCTGTATAATACATGACAACTGAAATGACAATGTATATTACAAAAAGACTACAATGGAAGAGAAACTGTCACGTCTGGACCAAAACTTACGTCTTGGCCTTTCCTCAGTCACGGACTCCAAGAAGTCCCTGGGGGTCATGTACATTTGACCTTTGTACTCCACCGAGGAGAACTCTCGGAAGCGGCGCTCGCGGTCCGACATCTTCTGCTGCGGCGGGGCCCGCTGCCAGAACTTTCTTTTCTCTTCTTCCTAAAATGAAAAAAAAATGATTTTAAATTTAGTATTTTAGTATGTAATACTAACCACATATGGACTCCACACCTATAACCTGTTGTTACTGCATTTAATGACTTATGGTCAGGTTTAACTGTAAAGAAACAGCAAGGGCAAGAGCAGATTGTAACAAGTTATTGCTGGGCATGTTAACTGCAGTGATGTCAGAATTCTCTAGGTGGCGCTGTTGATATGGCTATAGGTAACAGTCAGGGATTGTCAGTTTATAGAAATGGCATTCAAATTCAACTGATCAGTAAGTCACCTTCAGTATCTCTCAAACACTTTTTTATCCATGATAATTCTGAGCTGATGCATCAACTGTTTGAAGGCAAGAAAAACAGCCTTGTTTAGTCACTATTTGAAAATAATGATGGCTTTCCTGAAGAAAAATGTGTAAAACTAAATTGTAAAACTGTTAGATACAAGGGAACATTGGAAAGTCACAATGCAATAATAATATATAATAATGTACATGTTCTATGCTTTCATTCCAAACCAAGATGTATCAAAACAACATACATATTTTTTTAACAATAAATGTGATGAACAGTTTACATATGATCATACAGACACGTATCGTGAACTGTTCTTTGAGTTCATGAGAAATGTTTCATGAGTCTCCCTGAAAACAAACTTAGTAGACGTAAGTACAGAGAAAGGGGAGCTGGGCAGCTGTCTACAGTAAACTTACAGCTAGTAACACATTTGATGAAGTGTGATTGACACCAATATAAGCAATATCTCCATTGTATCACACAACATTTTGACATGATATATATATTATTGTGTAGTACATGTACTACAAACCTAACAGGAAGGCATTTTAGATTCTGCATCATTTCTTAAGCACATTATAATATTAACCACTCTTATTACCCCATAAAGTGTTATCTACAATCAGCTAACAAGGTACGATAAGCAGCGGTTATCTCCTGGGGTGGTCCTTTATTGGTGGTGAGAAAGTTTAGGTGAACTCACACCACTGGGTTCAGGACCTTTTTATGAGTCTCACATGTGCCTAGTGCCTTACACTGTACTACAACTGTGTCTTCTAGCAATAGTGTAGCAGCTTATAATTTACAAGTAGACTGTACTACATTGTTGTAATTAGCTACATGTACATGAAGGAATCTTAGTGCACAATGCTTTGCCTTGCACTGTCTTCTATCAATATATTGATGTATTAAAGTAGTATTTAAGTATTGTTACAGTAGTATTTTAGCTCAGAATCTACAATGTATACTAGATTATTGTAATTAGTTACATGTAGTCTTATACAAATATAACTTTCCCTTGCAGTGTACACTAGGTCTTTTATTAATATTGTAGTACTTAAGAATTGTCAACATTATTGTACATGCAATTAGCTAGTACTGTCTTACACAATGCTTTGTCTTACATTGTACCTGTTACAATCGTTGTGCAATAAACATTGACTTGCCTCTCTTTTAAGAAAGCCTCAGGCTGATTTTTCTCCACAAAAGTAATACTAAAAAAGTATGATATATATAGCTACTGGATGAATATTTTTTATTAAGGTTTTAAGGAATGCAATGTAGATAAATGCTACAAGCAAAATTATCAGTCACTATGGTTTATTATGTATGGTTAGTAGAAATCTAGGCTAGGATTCTATAAAAGAAATTTCCAAAACTCAATTATAACAGACTATTTTAGAACATGCTGAAATATCTTTATGTCATTTCAACCTCTAAATCAGCCTTAGGTTTGTCCCTTGGCACATCTTTCTCAAACCTTCCGACATTTTCCACCTATGGTGTAACGGTCTCATACGTTTCTGGATGCTGCAGAAGGAATTCTAGATATTCCTTAAGTTGTCTGGCCTAATTCTACCCTGTAAGGTGTTAATCTCCTAAGCTGAACTTAAATAGACACTAAAATTCCTGTCTGCCATAGTCAAGGAATGTTAGATATTCCAAAATAGGAAATTTCTCTTGACTTGGACAGTACATGGGCTGTATTATGAATAAAGTTGCTCTAGTACGTCCTATTTTCAAGAAATTCAATATATGACTCAAGTTTTGTATAATTAATAATTCTGGCCTGTCTTCAAACTTGAATGAAGTTGTTATCAACATTGTCTCATTTAAATGTCATTAGAAGCATAGGTCACAAAATATCATTTCAGTCTGTAGTCATGATAAAAATGACCTTAATATTTCAGGATACAAACAGGAACATGCAAGAGAAACAAACAGCTTTGTAAGAAACTAAAAATAGTCTGATAGCTATGAGAAAGTGAATCCAGCAGATTAAAAGCTTACCTAAGACAGTGTAATCTGAGTCCAAATAGTTGGAATGATTTCTGGAAGATCATACCAGAATTCAAAGTACTACTAGTACTACTACTACTAGTACCAGAATGGCAAGTTGTATGCAAGTCATAGCAATCTCAGAGAATGCTAAATTGAATGATGGTGTATCATTTCACTGAGAAGAAAACAATGTGGTGGAAATAAGTCTTCAGCTTATACCTGTTCTGTATATGATTGGTCACTTTTGATGTCAACGGACCATTTCAAAAATAATGCTAACGCTAAAACAAACAGCCTTATGAACTATTGTCTGCCGGAAACAGAGTGTATGAAATTCTTATTTGTGCAAACAAGTCCTTGGGCCAGAATTGTGTAAAGCCTGCACAGAGTCTACATGTACATCACTACCAGTGCTTGTCAGAGCAAGGCAAATCTAGGAGCTTACTGCTAAGGACGGCCTCTCTCGGAGGATGAAAGGCTTTGTGAACACTGTTCTGTGAAGGCGCAATTCTGTCAACGTACAAGCACTGACTATTCCAACAATTGTCACATCAAGCTCTTTCAGAAATCTCCAAGCAGATCCTGCAGTGGCAAGGCTAGTACTTAGTTTGCAGTCTGAGAAAATTAGAGGTGTTCACAGAACTATATGTTCATGGTGGCAGCAGGTGCAGAAAAAAGAAAGTCGGCAAATAATTTGTTAATGGTAAATGATATGACAGAATTGACTGCAAATGGATTCAGGAAAACAGCAGTCATTGTGAGCCCAAGAAAAACCCATGGAGCTTAATAATATCAAGGTGGCTAATAATTAATGTATTCTGTCAAAATGAATGAGCCTTTCATTCCAACTGCCCTCAGTCTATACAGTGAAGATGTATGTTAAAGTTAAAAGTATATACCGTACTCCTGTACTATGTCTAACAGCACAAAACCAATGCACAAAGCCTTAACTTCCTGACTACATGTATGAGTCTTCGACCACCTGGCAGAGCTATTTGAACAATGTTGTGGCAACAACCTAAAAAAACATTGATAAAAGACGGGGAATGTGATTTCCCATGACGGACTGCAAATTATGGTCTATAGGTCGGCATGACTTTCTGACACAGGTATTTAGTGCTCACGTCTCTATGGACTTTCTGTGCCCACAGCCTATATATAACCTCTCTTGGTAACTGGTACCACCAGGTAGGTATTTACTACTCTTGTGTATGGAGTCTCACCTGTAATTAAGGCATCAGAGATACCTGAAAAGTACCTTCATGGCATGAGACTCTCTCATTCATTTGTGTCTTGAAGTTGTTTTGTTTGTGGAGAAAAGTGCTGATACTATGACAAAACAGCCTTGCAGAATGATCCCAGCACTGTCATACAGGATACTTTACCCTTTTCAAGTGTTGTATATGGCAACTATAGTCTTGTTCCCATTACACCACATGACAAGAATGTCTTTACAGCACAGAGAGTCCATCGGACATCAAAGCCGGCCGTGCTCGGAGCTAAGAGGGCTTCTGTTTCAACGGACAATACTGCGAACACGGGGCGGATTATGTCGGATTATCCCGCGCTCTTCCTACCTACAGGATCTATCTCTAGGTTTGGGAAATAAAAGACAACAAAGTCGCGATGCACGAATGACAGACCTTCCACACTCTGGCAATAAGGAATGTTAATTATACCACTGATATCCCACATTCCCAACGTTTAAGACATTTTTAGAGCAAGACATCTTGTATAGGAACTTGAAGACACCGTTACCTGAAGGAGTTCCAACTGTCTGAGTTCACTACTGAGTGAAAGGATTTCGTGATGAGACGTATAGATAAGATTGAAGATAAGAAGTTGATGGAGACTATACATGCTACTTTGAACAAACACTTCCTTCACTTTCCATACAACACAGCTTATCTGGATGATGCAAACCAAATGCAGCAACAACTTTCATTTTTTTTTAACTTAATTATAAAAGTATTTGTGGAGCAGCCCTGTGGATTAAATGGCATAAACAATCTAGTTTTAAACCAGTTTCAGTATTGGGCTCTAACTTCGCCAAGATGACAGGTTGGTCCAGCCAGAACCATGTAGGTTTTTTTTTTCCTCATTACTGTACATGTAATTGTCTGTCATCAGCCTCGTTATACAGGCACACCACAAAAGGACCACCCTAGGCTAGACACCATAGCCTTTGGTACTCCTTCTTTCTAGGTTCCCCAGGACCATAACAATATTTTCATCTACACATTGTACATCATACAGAGGAATTTGTATCATGTGGGCTATGGTTTTGAAATTTGTTTTGAAACAAGATGTATGTTTTTATTTTTCAAGTGTAAGTCTTTAAAACAATTGCACAAAATATCTTAGTACCAATGACACAAATGACAGACAGAAGTATGACCCGGTTTAGATAAAATTATATGATTCTTTGAAGCCAATTTAAAGTGAGCAAAAGGCCATGTTCTACAATGAAGCCAATTAACACAGACATCTGTAACTTATAATGATAGTCAAAATGTTTGTCTTGCAAATATCTCAGACCCTTACTACCATAACTTAGATAGTTTTACAGCAATTAATCTTTTGTTCTTTTCAAAGGGAATTAAGCCCTAAGTACATGTGCAGAAACATTAAGAGGGTCTTGATGGAGAAGTGTTGTCATCAGTGGACCACACCCTACAATTAAGGCTACAGTTTCCT